ATAAAGCACCTTCCAATAGCTATAAGAGAGAAACACTTTCCTTGTTTAATACAGATACCTCTCCCTGACCGCTTTCATTTCCCATGTCTTTTTTTATTTTTATGCTAATAAAATATAATTTTATTTGGTAGGATTATTTGGAAAAGTCTGTTTTTCTAGACATATCTTAATAAGAGAAGACAACTTATGAAATAGTCAAGGTGAGGTGAAGATATATTAATAAAATGTGGAAGAAAAAGTCTCCTAAGCAATAAAAAATAGAACAAAAACGTAAAGCTGTCCACATAAAACTCTAATCATATAAAGGACAAGAAAGGTGGATTGGTTCATTTTAACTCTGAAGTTTTATTAGTTTTAATGAGAGCAGACTATTTCCAAGAGGAAAAAGAGCAAAACATGTCTTTCCTCTTCAGAAACATGAGACATAACAAGCTGCCAGTCATTAAAGATTTTTTTAAAAGAATGATTGCCAAATTCACTCAGACCTAACATTCATTTTTCATTCACTCAGCAAAACTGGTTCAATTGAAAGCAAATTTCAGTTGATTATATCTGAAGGATGGTATAGGAAGTAAGAGAAAATCTGCATTTGTTGCCAGTGTCGTGCACCTTAAATATGGAATCTTGCAAAGGGAGGAAAACAACTAATATTGACTGAGCTCAATGTGCCTGGTGCTATATTATGTTTCTTATCACATTTAATCCATAAGCAACTTTATAAGGTTAGAAATTATTAGCCCTAGTTTAATAATGGGAAAACAGAAATTTAGTAAGCCCAAGCAATTTGGATCTAGTTACATACACTATGTTAGTGAAGTGCTTGGAGTTTAGGTCTACCTTGATTACTGCAGTATAACGTGCGATCTGTTTAGCTTTTCTTTTAAGTATTCCTTTGTAAAAGCAGTTTTGAGCATTAAGTGAGAAATATTGTGAAAGCACTTAGCAAATTCAAAAGCATTGTATAAATGTATGCCATTATTTTGGTTGGCAAGGGGAAAATTGGTTTAATTCAGGCTTGTATCTTATTTTTGTAGGTTATTCTTCCCAATATACAATTTTTTTTTCATATTACATCAATTCCACACAAAATATTAAAGAAACTGAGAAACATATGTCTTCAGTAAATAAACCTTAGGTTGGGGTCACAGAGTACTCATGCTCTTGTTAGTCAAAGGACAATGAATGGAACTCTAACAAACATTGTACACATGTATTGAAATATAACTCTGTACCCCATAAATATGTACAATCAATATGTTTCAATAAAAAATTAATTTAAAAATAATAAAAGTTGCAGTTTAGCATAAGGTCTTCCTTACATTATGGTAAAGCAAGTCAGCTATATGATGATGAACAAACAAATCACTGCAAATATTTTGCTCTTAGTGGTGGAAGACAAATAGATGGTAAAAATATGTTAAGGGTGAGTCACTTATAACTCATCCGATAGGTTTTGTTTTCTAATTTTTTCTGCTCCCATTGTTGGGAAATAATGCATGATTTTAAAATTTAGCCTTCTATTGAGGACTAAAATTACTTATTGAATAAAAGTAGTCTGTATCTATAGGACTGAAACTTTCCATAATAATAATAATAAAGCCTTATTTGTCATCATTTCTTAGATACCTTATCCATGTCATCTTATTTTAGTGTATTCTTTTAAAAAGGGGTAAAGTCTTTTTTCTTTTCTCTCTGTAAATTGTACCACTCTAGATTAATAAAAATAGTTTTTCTTTGTGTGTTGGCAAAATAGAACAGAAAATAAGAAATGGACCAGTGAGCCCAAGTGAAAGACCAATGTCTGTTGGGATATGTTTTGTAGTTGCCCATGAACCACTCAGAAGCTTTGGAAAACTCATTAAAGAAAGCTGGGCATGCTCCGCTCAGAAAGTTGGGTGCCCCAGAGTTTGTTCCTTGAGAAATGTTGCTCCATGACAATGTGGTACAGCAGTCAATGAGTTTGGAAAATGTTTCATACTTCTCTTGGATTTTCAAATGCACACTCATATATTAAAGTCCCTGAGACACTCTGCAGAAAGCCTGTTTAACTTTGTAACTATTTTCCATGACCCTTCATATTTTCCATGGAACACAGCTCTGGCCTGGGGAGTAATGGAAGCTGTCATGAGTCCATTCAATTAACTATTTTCCACTCATGAAGTACCAGTTTGACTGTGTTGGATTTGGATACAACTGTTGATCAAGGTCTGGTAGAGGTAAGATGATCAAAAAGATGTAAACTAGGTTCATGGTCCAAATAATTCATGGAGAATTGTTTGGCCATGATGATGAAGTAAGCTTTTCATAAGGCTAAATTTATGCAATTTGAAGGACTGACATTTATTCTGAATCCTTCCATTTTTCAAAATGAAACGTTGGTGATAGGAAATTTTAGTTTACTCAGCTAGGAGTTTCATCACAAGACTCTAATCTCCATCATGGAAGATACAGCATCTGTTTTTGTTCACAGCTGTAACCCCTTCACTCTAGTACTGAGCCTGGCTCCAAGCAGGCTTTCAATAAAACAGAGTAATTGCTCTGTTTAGTGTCATATTTTGAAAAATATACTGTTGAAAACCCTATATTGGTCTGATATTTGTTGTTAAAATTGAAAAATCTTGAAATCACAAGACTAGTTGAAAGTGAACTTTGCTAAAAATATATATGGCTGCAGAGACGACTTCCCTTCTGTAGTATTGTCATTACATAGGTATCCAAACAAAGATTACGTTCCCAGCCCCTCTTGCACTGCAACAAGGCCTTGTGACTAATTTTAACCAACAGAGTGAAAGTGGAAGTGATTTATGTCACTTCTGGGTCATCTTTCTCCATTAGCAGACCAAATGCAGAGGACCCTCAGGCTCCAGGGATGATAGGCCACAGGATCCTGGCCCCCTGAATTGAATTGTGGTTCAATTACCAAATGAACCACACACACTGAACTATTAGTTTAATATGAAATACACATTATTTGTTAAACCACTGGCCTTTTGGAATTTGTTTCAGAAGCTGGTATTACTTAACATCTATATGCTCATCTATATATGAATATACACAAATATATGCCTTCACAGACATAGGCTAGAAGCTTATGCACTGGAAGGCTAAAAGTGGTGTATTCTCTGGGTGACAGAGCTAACAGGTTTTATTATTTTTTTCTAAATTATCACATTTTCTCAATTTTCTCCAGTGGCTAGGCATTACGACACATTAGGTTTATAGTCAGGGGAAAAACACAAAATAGGGCTGAGCCTGTGGTGCACTCGGGAGAGTGCAGCCCTGGGAGCGCGGTAGCGCTCCTGCCACGGGTTCGGATCCTATATAGGGATGACTGGTGCGCTCACAGCGCTCACTGGCTGAGTGCGGTGTGGCCGGTCTCAAAAAGGACCAAAAAAAACCACACAAAATAAATGTTATATGTTTTTTAATGATTTGCAGCTGCAGAAAATCTTTCTATTTTTTGTTTGTTTGGGGGCTCTTTCCTCACCCCTGGAATCTTCAGCCCTTTGTGTGGCTTGGACCTCCAAACTAGGAACGCACCTCACCTTTAGGCAGAACTGGCAAACTGCTCATCATCCCTCCCCTCTCTGATGGGCATCTGAAAGAGTAATCACAACCCCACTTCTCTCTTTGCCACCCCTAAATGGAAGGATTTGGATAGGGAAGAAAACCTACCTAGTTCACTTTACTGTGGCTGGATACTGCATTATGCGGTTTGCATTTGTAACTTTTATTCTGAAATAATTTCAAACTTAAAAACGGCAAGAATAGTACAAAGAACTCCTATCCCCTTCATCCAGACCCTCCAAGTGTTATCATTTCACCATATTTGAATGAATGATCCCTCTCTCGCACGCTCTCTGTAGATAAATGATAGATGTTTTTTCTGAACCATATGAGAATAAATTGAAGACATCTGGCAATATTCATCAAAATACCTGAAAGTATACATGATTATATTTCTGTAATTCCACTTACAGTAACTTAATTATAAAATAATACTATGGTGTAAGAAAGTGTTCATTATGAGAATGTTAATCAGCAATGTTTACCATATTGAAAAATGAGGAGTGGTATTTATGTCCAATAATAAGATTTTGGCTGAGCAAACTCTAGTGCAATTATGGACAGCTTCCAAATGCCCTCTTGTCTACCACTCATCTTCGGCCTCTGTAGACACTATAATCAAGTTGAAAGCTTTTAATATGTCTGCTTCTGTCAGCTGCATCACTCTTATCACTGCTAGGACACATTTGACCCTACCTGCATCCCCTTCAGAAAAAATAATCACCCAAGATACCTCACATGACATTGGTGAATGCTGGTTTCATCAAGTATGTCTCTCCACCCTCCCTGCACCTAAGGATCAAACCAGGGACAACTGTGCATGGAGACTCCCTCAGGTCTCAGGTACTCCTGCCTAATAACCCAGGAAGCAGGTACTGTGGCTTGATCCAGGACAGCCACAAAAATCCTCTATAAAAAAACAGCAAGAAGCAGCCTGGTCTCTTCAGGAAGTTCTGCTCAATATAAGGGAAATAACTTAGAAAATAATCAGAATTCTACAGAATTTTCAAGAGATAACCTATCCTAATTTCGAATGAAGAGTCAGTTCCTCAAAACCATATATTTTCATGAGAATTCCTAGAAGAAGAATGTCAACTTTCTTCTGAGTACATCTATGGAAAAACAGATTCCGTTGGCTGGCTCCACAAATGGAAGCTTCTAAAGCTGTTTATTCTTTTAGAGCTGATATGTCCCTCTTCCTTACCAAGAACAATAAAACAAACATAATATTACATATTTTCCAAAGGAAATCGTTTGGCTCTGATACCTCAGATTCAGAAGGTTATCATATTTCTCATACAAATATTTGAATGGAAAAATCATAGCATCTGATATAGTATTGATACAATAAAAAGAAGTAAACTATAAAATATGCCTCATAAATATTTCAAACATTTCATCAAATGGACAAATTCTAAGAATCAAGAAGAAAATACTCCAAAACATAATATTTATTTAAAAGGCAATAAAGTTTATGTTGAAGACATTGTTTATGAGGCAGAAAGGGCTTAAAAATGTAATAAAAAATGCAACATTCGTAATTGGTTTTACAGACAACATCAGTAAAAAAATCACTTGCTTTTCTTAAGGTGTGTACAAGATACCACACAAAAATTTGATTTTATTTAGTTTATTTATTTGATCCAAAGAGTTTTACCTTTAGAAATGAGGACAGGACATAAAACAAGATTTGGCTGAACTATACAAAGAGAACCAGAAGAAGAACAAGATTTTCAATTGGTGGCCATTTTATATGGAAAGTTAGTTTATTAACTGATATAAAAATAAATCTACAATAGCAAGTGTGACTCAAACTGAGCCAGTGTGCCGTAAGTGTGACACCCAACACAGTCAGTGAGGAAACACACAGACCTTATACCCTCCTGTACCGGCTCACACTGTCTGACTTTGACCTGGAACCTCACAAAAGACCCCTCACAGCACAGGGTTTACAGACAACAGCATTTTCTCCACATCCTACAGGCAGTTACATCCCATTTCTATGATGCCCATTGCCTCTTTCTTTGCAGAAAGTGACAGAGCTCAAGAAAAAATTAGCTGGCCAGTACTGAGCAGGGAAGAGGGAAAAAGTGACTTGAGATGGGTGGGAGGGGACCTGAGCGTACAACAGGCTCAGATAACGTAGGGGCCTAGAGTGCGCATCAGCAAAAAGCACTGAGGTAAGGGGCCCGTGCGGACTTCACAGAAAAGACCAGAAGTGGATAAAGACAGGAAGCACTGTTGGGACACTTGGAAGGTCACACCCAAGGAACAATAAAGAGGAAGGAAACTGGAATGGAGAGAAGTTCCTTTCATATTTTTAAGATAAAAGCAGTTTTTAAACGAAATATAGAAGTCAAGACAAAAAATGGAATAGTAACAAATGAGTATATAAATAAAATGGAATGTGGGAGAAAAAAAGAATTTTTAAAATTTCCATTTGACCGTTCAAATTTTTAAAAAGGTTAAGTTAGGCCAGTTTTATTTTATTGGCCGTCTGAACGTAACATTAGACATTTCTGAGGCAAAGAAGAGAAAGGGATTGGTACCTCTCAGGTAGACTGGGAAAAAGAGAGGAGGGAAGGAAGAGACCGTGGGGGGAAGGAAGAGACCGTGGGGGGAAGGAAGAGACCGTGGGGGGAAGTCTCCACGCTCTTCGGGCCCATCTCTCCACGCCCACTGTGAACACCGTCTTTAGCCCATACTCTCAATGACAGGTTCAGATCACAGAAAACACTGTCACCAAGTACAGCAGAATTCTGATCACAAGCACCTGGTGCTCAGCATGCTGCCGAGTAGCATAACACACACAAGCAACTTGCGGGAGCGATCTCTGTGCAGAGGAGAGGAAGACGACGGTCTGCACACCAAAGGTTCTGCTTTGTACGGCCTTGCTATATCTGGAGGTAGTGCAGTCATCCCTTGAATCTGAAAATGGAAGAGCGGAGAGTGCCAATGAGCATGTGGCTTAAGGGCAGGACTGCGGCAGGGCTTGCTCTGCTGCTGCGCTTCTGCAGAGGACCGAGTGGACAGGCGACAGAGGCTGCAGGAGTCACATGTCAGGGGTCAGAAACTTAGGCTTGAGGAGGAAGGCAGAAAAGAGGGCCAGATGCTCCTTCGGAAGAGAACACTAAAGAAGCAGGCTCGTCGCTTTTTGAAGCTCTCCTGCCATCCTATTCCTGCTACGTCCCAACTTTAGTTTTAGAATGATTTATTTCTTCAAAGGGAGTGGAATCGGGAGTTTTTAGTCAATCCAAGTAATCATTGAACAAATAAGTTATCAAACATATCAAAAGACATACCAATGGACCACTGGATTTACAGATATTTGTCTGTTCCTTAGATTTTCCTGTGGATTCAAGTAAAATGTAACATCTAGGTTTTCAGAGATTAAAACAAATTAGGGCTTACCGACCACTCTGCATTGTCTGTCTTGGAACATCTCACATTCACTGGGAGGCTGAGGACAAGCTTGTTGAAGGAGAGACCTTCCTTTTTAGTCCACTTAAATTTGTTCATTGCATCCATGAAAGAAAGGTTTTTATATTGCTTGGGGCTTTTGATAATGAAAGGCCAGGTCCTAAATTTAAAATACACAACAACAATCAGTCATATTACATGTTTCCTTTACTTTTCAACCATCTGAAATAGATCACACACTTGTTCATTTTTACAGACAGATAACCCAATGTAAAGCATGGATGAACTCAGCAGCAGTCACTAAAATATACACCAAATAAGGAGTCTTTTAAAGAGGGATATTCCGTGTTTTAGTAGCAGATTGGTATTAATTTTGGACAAGTAATTTTGGCTTGGAAAGCTTCCCCAGAGCCTCCATATTCCTCTCTCATTACTTTGGTTCTGGTTAACATTATAACTGGTAGGCAATCCTTTCTGAAGAATGAGATGCTAATGGTGTAATAAAGAAACATGTAGGTTCTTCTTGAAGCACTTACCCCATCCTATTCCTGCTTCATCCCAACTTTAGTTTTAGAATAATTTATCTCTTCAAAGGGAGTAGGATCATGTTCTAGAAACCTGTTCCATGTAACATGCAATATCCAAATCCATACCCTGGAAAAGCCTGACCCCTGCTGGCTGCTCTATTTCAACTTGGCTAAGGGAGAAGATAAATACAAAAGACTGGAATTTGAACCAGTGTTTTTAAAATTTTACTGAGAAAAAGTACTCCATATAGAATATACTCTGCTTCTACTTGCTACTCCAAAAAGCACGTTAGGAATGGAAATCGTCATGTCAAAGGGATACCTGCATTCCCATGTTTATTGCAGATCTTTTTGCTGTTGCAACAGCAAGGATTTGGAACCAACCAGAATATCCTGATGGACAACTGGGTAAGGAAAATGAGGTCTACATACACAATGGAACACTGCTCTGCCTTAAAAAGGATGAAATTCTGCCATTTAAAACAACAACATGGATGAGCCTGGAGAAAATTATGTTAAGTGAAATAAGCCAGGCACAGAAAGACAAATACTGCATGTCCTCACTCATTAGGGGGAAGAAGGAAGGGAGGGAGGGAGGGAGGGAGGGAGGGA